AACGTCCCCTAAGGGCGCTACGGTCTTTCAAAGGAGCTCCCATAAAGATGGTTTTTCCTTAATATTTCCGAAACGTGTTGAGATAAAGACATAAAATTTGGTATTCCAGCCTAGCTTTTATGCTGGATTTAAAAATATTAACAAGTTTAGGCAGTTTTGTTTGGAAGCGTATGTAACAAGGACGGACTCGGGTTATTTTAGCCCCAAAATTTTTGTGTGATTCTATTTTTGAAATTCAATTTGAGACTTTGAAAATCTAAGATTTTCTACATAAAAAAGGTACTCTTATTGAATATCCATAAATTGTGCCATTTTTGAATAAAATCAAACTAAAAAATTTGTCACATGATAGGAAATGTACTGAGAATATAATGAATTGTTGTTTATACATAGTTAGCCATGACTGCGGACAAAAGTTGTTTTGATTTGTTATGACTTATTTTGACGTTAAGCTGACTTTGTTAGCAGTGTAAAATTACTAGATTAAAATCAAAGTTTGTATTAAATCGATTTAAAATGCCAAGATTTGCAGACAGAGAACTGACTGACATGCATTTTGTGTACGGGTTCTGCAATGGCAGTTCATTGGCAGCCGTAAGAGAATATCAAAGAAGATTTCCCAATCGCATAGTACCTGGACGTCGAATGTTTACTGATATTCACCGGAATTTGTCATACCATGGAAGGTTTCAGCGCATGCAGGGCTCAGGAAGGCCACTGGGAAATCATCGTATGGATATTTCTTTAAATATGTTTGAAAATAATCCGCAAATAAGCATACGAAATGTTTCAGTTATGCGTATACCTTGATCAATAATAAGAAAAATTTATGAATACCTATTTGATAGTTATTCTAAAAATAATGATTTTAGATAGGAAGAATGACAAGAATGCAAGGATTACATCCTTATCATTTTAAACGGGTGCAGCATTTAACGGAGGCAGATTTTTTACCACGAATCGAGTTTGGACTTTCTTCAGAATGAGCTCATGGATATAATACCACTGAATGTGCGCCAGCAGTTTCAAGAAAATTTGTTTTTTCAAGATGATGGCGCCCGTGCACATTTTGGATGCAATGTTCGAAATTGGTTGAATGTCAAAACAGGTGGTTAGGCTGAGGAGGTCCTATAGCGTGGCCGTCACGTTCACCTGACCAAAATCCATTGAATTTCTATTTTTGGGGGTCATTAAAAGACATAGTTTACTCGACTGAAGTAAATACTCAAGAATATTTACTTCAAAGAATCCACCAGGCTGCAAATGAAATAAGAAGAAAAAGGTTTTCCACTTTTCGGGCTACGCAAACATTAGTCCGTCGAGCGAGACTCTGTATTTGAACATTTATTGTAAAGCTACTTTTAAGTATATCCAACTTCTTTTTTAAACAAATTTCAATTTCGTTCGTAGAAAAAATTTATTTCTTTTGTTTTTGCCTAAATGTTAGCTATGTAGCAATAGAAATATGTATTTATATAATATTTACCAATTATTAAATTAGTTTTTTCATTGCCATGGCTAATTATTCAACAATTCATTTAAATTCGCAGTACATTTCCTATCATGTGAAAAAATTTTTAGTTTGATTTTATTCAAAAATGGCACAATTTATCGATATTCAATAAGAGTACCTTTTTTATATAGAAAACCCTAGATTCTCAAATTCTAAAATTGAATTTCAAAACTAGAATCACAAAAAAATGTTGGGGCTCAAATAACCTGAGTCCGACCCTGTTACATACGCTTCCAAGCAAAACTGTCCAAAATTGTTAATATTGTTAAATCCAGCAAAAAAAAACTAGGCTAGAATACCAAATTTTATGTCTTTATCTCAACACGTTTCGGAAATATTAAGGAAAAACCATATTCAGGGGAGCCCCTTTAAAAGACCGTAGCTCCCTTAGGGGACGCTTGTCGACCTATGTTTATATAAGCTTTTCTTCCTATTTTAAGCTCTATAAACCGCTGGTAGAATGTTGCACACCTTTTTCGGGACACCCTGTATAATATTTCAATTTAATCCTCGAATACGATTCATCTTCGGACATAAGTTATAATGAGCTTTTTTTGGAGGAATCACCTCTTAAAGTTAAGAATATTATTTAAAAAACGAGCCCAGAATTATTTCTATTTCTCAATATGAAAATGCCTTGGTCGAAGTATGCATTTCACTATGTCCATTTCATCACGGAACATCCTAGAAACAACGCGCTACTCTTGCACATTTTTTCACTAGGTTATCATATCACCTCACCAAGACTTGTGCTATAATTTATTGTTTCCGTCCCTAGTTGAGTAGTGAGCAGTAATTAGGTATTGTGTCCAACATCAAATGTCAGCACAATAACGGCAAAAGAAGAGTACCTTTTGGAACGTACATTCACGTAAATTCCAGAAATCATTTCAGGCGAATCGGATACTGAAATAATACGCATGCCTGCGGAGGCCGGGGTATCATTTTTATGATTACGAACCGTCTCTTAACTGCTTGTCGTTTTGACTAAAAGTGATGGGTGTGTGGTCCATGATCTCATTAGTAACGAGGCCTGCTGGCATTGTTGATGCAAGGTGTCCGCTAAAATGGGAGTTTTTATTGGGTTTGCAAAATCAGTCAAACCTAAACCAACTCTAATTGAGCCAGTTCCTTCAGGAGTTCCGCAGGGCTCAGTATTAGGTCCCTTACTATATCTGATTTATACGATTGATCTGCAAGACTGTTTAGTCCACTGTAGTATGCAAACTTATGCAGATGATACTCAGTTAGTGTTTGGTTTCGATCCGTCAAAGGTTGATGAAGTTTCTTTTAAAGTTAATTTAGATTTGGCACTGCTTGAAGATCAATCCTAATAAAACTACTGCAATGTTGTACTGTTCGAAGAACTCCTACCGTGAAATGAAGCACAGGATTTGTGTTGTTTTGGATGAGACGCTCATCCCTTTCGTGGATTAAGCCAAGAATCTCGGTGTTACCCTTGAGTTAAATATGAGATTTGATCGGCATGTCTCTTTCTTATCTAGAGTAACGTACATGCGTTTGAAACTCCTCTATTCTAATCGATACATCCTGAATTTTAAAATCCGAAAAAAGCTCCCTGAAAGTCTTGTGTTGTCTGTCATTCCTTACTCTCTTGTTCTTTATTACCCATGTTTAGACTACGTCCACAAAAGGAAACTCCAGAAAATTCAGAACAGCTGTTGTAGGTTTATTTTTGGATCGCGCAAGATTAGTCGCGTCTCAGATAAAATCAAAGAACTCAACTGGTTGCGAATTGATAAGTTATTTTTATATCTTTTGACCGTCTTCACGCATAAAGTTCTATTTTCTAACAGACCAGCTTACCTCGCTAGCAAATTAGTTCACCGCGGTAGTTTTGTTAGATTTAATGCTAATTTTGTCAAGCATTACAATGCAGTCAACAGTGGCTGTCGATCCAAACAGGTTGCTTCTTTCAAGAAATTAATGAAAAGTCAGCTGCTGGAGTCCATTTAGTTCAGTTTTTCTTGTGCTCATGTGCTTTTTTTATTTGACTATTTTCTACTATTTTTGTTTCAAATTTAAAACTCTCACAATACTATCTGCATTTGTCTCGTGCAGTCAATGTTGTCATTCTTATGAACTGTATTTTTTTTTGGTATGTTATTAATTTGTTTATGTGTTTAAGTATTTTTTTTCCTGTTGAGAGGTTGGGTGTAAGACTAGCCGTCTGGCTAGACTTCGCCTCACTGCAGCTAATAAAGGCATTGTTATTATTATTATTATTATTAATTCGCTCCTGTATCTCGGTCAGATCAATAGTAAATAGCCGGAATACGCGTCAGTACTCAGTAAACACAACACTTATTTACAAACTTGTCGACGTCATTTGAATTTATGGTGAGTGTCTTCAAAATGCTACCGCGGCTTCGCGAGTGTATGCAGAGCGCTTTCCGAGACGTTATCATACGGGGTCGTATACATTTGTGCAAATTGCTAGGAATAGAGGTCATTCGCAGGAGTACCAAGGTGGGCACTGCGAGGGAACTAGACAATCCCCAATGGTGCAATCTGAGGAAGGATTATTCAGCCTTGTAGAAAAAAATCGTCCAACAAGCACTAGTGGCTAGACAAGTGCAAGTCTCCAAGGCAACAGTGTGGCAAATGCTGCGTGATGATGGATTGTACCCCTTTGTACAAGCTGAGGATTTTCGTGCAAGGGTACGTTTGCACCACCATGAAAGTAATCCGGAGTTGAAGTTGAAATCCATATTAGTCACGGACGAATCAATGCGTAACGAAATGAATAACAGCAAACATAAAAAACTTCAGAATGTGGGGGTTTGTCTTCACCTGAACTGTGCTTTTTATGACGCGGCCATATATCATAAAATGACTTGTAACTCTAAAATCAGACACTTCACAGATCGAACCTGACAATACCCAAGTTAACAAAGAAACGTGATTTTTTCCAAGGCTCACAAAAATGAAGCATGATGACTATCTACATGAGTTTCGTAAGTAATTTCAGGACAACGGTTTCTGTTCATCACCCCATGTTCAGTCTGTGGAAACCAAAAGTTCGCCATTTTTAGCCTCAAGAACAAAGTAACATCGCTTCAAAATAAAATAACTTCAAAATACTTTTCAATATCTTCAACATTAAGTTAGACACTTGGCAACCAAAAAATAACTAACTTCTGAAGCATTGAGAAACCCGCTCGGTGACCCAGATCAAACTTTAAAGAAATTTTTTGCAAAGCCTTAAAAAAGGTATATTAAATGCTTAAAAATTATGATTTTTCAGGTCACCAAGTATTTAAATTAAAGTGTATACAACATCGAACCGTATTTTCAAATTATTTTATTTTATAGTTACACTTTTCTGTCTAGTTAAAATTGACGAACTTTTGGTTCTCCTAGACTGTACTTGAAACTGGATACTTTGGCATGAGTAGCGTATTGTTTTAGCTCCTCATCTGAATTAGTGTATATTACATCAAGAATGTATGTTTTAAAAGGTAGTCGTGTTCTTAATCGCTGCAACCTGAGCGCAGCTCGTATTAGTCACTAGAATTTGAAGTGTCTTTGAAGCACTGTACGGTAGTTTATTGAGGTGGTGGGCACCGAACCACCGTCGTGGTGGCCAACTCGGAGAACTTCTTGTCTATGGGGATGCGATCGTCGTATAGGGTGGGCGCTTGCAGGATGATCCCTGCAGTACCCACCAGTACCGCCAATGTGAATATCCACAGGAAAAGGCGATCTAGCACCATCGCCACATATTTCCAGTCTTCTTTCACCTGCAATAGAACCAAATGTTACTATGGTTTGGTAGTTATTATCCACAAATGGACTATTCAAGGAATTAGTTATAATTGAATGCTGTTTCGGGAAACCGAAACGCTGGTTTCCTATCCTACAGTACGTTTGCCTCGTAAAGTTGGAAAATGTTGCGAAGACCTTGGGCGATCCTGACTTTGGGTTAATTGAACAAGACCCAGATGAAGATGAAGGAAATCATGAGAATGACGAACTTCCTCTTCGCCAACTAGCTCAACAAATAAGAAGAAACTTGAGTATTATAATAAATAGTTTCACTGATTGAAATGTATTTATAAGTTATAATAAGCTTTATTTTCGTGAACATCATAAGTTACAGGTGGCTTCTGACGCTGCATCATTTCTAACTTCGTTTTATAATACTCTTGTTGTAAAATACTTGTTTGGTACTGCTGTAATAGCACTAGACGTTGCAGTTCTTTTGTGGTTAGCTCTTTGGTTTCCTCAGTTTCGTATTTCTCTGTTGCTAATTTTCTTTTTGGTGGCAATGTCTTCTGAATTGCTGGCGCTGAATACTAACTGTTGGCTCACTGCGCTCGGTATATAGTTCACTTCCTCCTTCTTGAACACTACCAACCTGAATGGCACCTCTTATTTTCCCAATTGTAGGATTACAGTCACCTCCCATAGCTTTCAGCAACTTTCTTTCCCAATCTAACAATTTAATTGCTTTATTACCAGTTTTTTTTAGGTCTGTTTCTTTCTTCAATCTTGATTTCATGTTGTTGATTTTATTTAATAACTCTTTGTTATGTAATGGTTTACCGTATGTTGATTCGTATTTTTTCATCTTCTTCAAGGCATCGTCCTTTCTCATTTTTATTTTTGGAACTTGTGACTTTTGCAAAATAATGGGAGCAATGACAATTTCATCTGCGATGAACTGCAGGTCGTTGCCATCATTTTCTATAGCTTCCTCATCACTTGAGGATGACATGCTTATTAATTTGATAAAAATCTGTATCCAGTAAAAATGCGGAACGGTGTGAGTAAGCTCTGGAGTACACCTGTCAGTGATGCTGAGTGAACGAACTCCCACGTCAACCACAAGCTGGAACAAGTCAGGACATGTCGCTCAAGAAACAAATACCAATCAACCTTTTACTTCTTCTTGGAGGATATCCTCGCGAGTAGGTATATAAGGTAATCATTATGAATATGAAAACAAGGATATGCTTATACTTCTACCTTTTTCTCCGAAGCAAGACCTTATACTTTTACCTTATGGTTCCGAGGATATGCTTCACTTTTATGAATACGGCTCATGGTTTTTCGTGATGTACTCGTTTGCCATCCAAAAACATATAACGTTTTAAAATTTTTTCGCGATTACCAAACTTACTTGCCATTTCGCGTGGGAAGTAAAAATATAATTCAAGTTGAAATGTAATAATAATAATAATATTTATTCACTCAATGTACAAAGATAACAAAAAAAATGAGTAAATAAATATAAAATCAAAACAGGCCCAATAGAAGGCATCGCCTGTACATGGACCAATAAATTTAAGTTGAAACTGTAGAATGCAAATGACAAAAAAGGACAAAAATTAGCTACAGTAGATTATGTATTTAGTTGATGTTCGTATTTATGAGTTTATGAATTTCAGTCCTAGATATAGAATGTAGCCACTTTTTTAAATTTCTTTTGAAACAATTTCCGAAACGTAAATCTTTTAAGTCTTTAGGTATAATTTCATAAAATTTAGGCGCTAAATAGAGATATGATCGCTGCATTATAGATTTATGCGGTTGAGGAACTACTGTGCCACGAATTTTGTACCTGGTATAATGATTATGTTCAATTTTTTGGTCGGTGTTTACAAATTTATGGTAGTGAGTGATACTGTGTAAGAAATAAAGCTGTCTTATATCATACATTCGAACATCTGCGTATAATTTTTCAGTGGGATAAAGTTTCGGTTTTTTAAATATCATTTTTAGAATACTTTTTTGAAAAACATCTAAATTATAGATATGTGAGGAACATGCAGCTCCCCATGCTAATATACCATATGTGAGATGGGGCTCAATCAGTGCATGGTATAATGTTCGAAGATATTTTTCTGTCAATATATTCCCAAGGTATTTAATTTTGTAGGATACAAATCTAACTTTCTCTAAAATATAATTGACATGGATGTCCCATCGTAAGTGAGGATCCAAGACCACTCCAAGGTATTTTATGATGGGCACTCTATTAATTTGCATTTTTTGATCATTAATATTGAAGGAGAAATTTGTGTAATTTGGCAGATGTCTAGCATAAGATCCAAATGGTAAAAAATGTGTTTTAGAGTAGTTAATGCTTAATTTTCTACTGTTAAACCACTGAATAATTTTGATAAAATCATTTTCAATTACATTTTTCAGATGAGACCAGTCAGTGCCTTCATATAATATTGCAGTATCATCTGCAAAACTAGTTATTTTGCCAACACAATTAATTTGGAAAATATCATTTAAATATATATTGAATAACAGCAGACCTAAGACAGTTCCTTGTGGGACACCACACTTAATATACATTTCTTTACTAAATGATCCTGATATCTGCACAGATTGTGGGCGATTTGACAAATGACTTTCGATCAGTGAGTACGCGTTTCCTCTGAAACCAATTCTCTCCAATGCTTCTAATAATAATTTGTGATTAACTGTGTCGAAAGCTTTCTTTAAATCAACAAAAATGCAGATTGAAGGGATTCTGTTATCAATATTTTGAAGTATTTGATTTACAATTTTAGTTATTGCGTCCGATGTAGCCTTCCCTTCTGTAAATCCATATTGATTTTCACTTAAAATTTTGAATTTTGTGAGGTATCGAATCATTCTAGTAGATAAAACTTTTTCAAAAACCTTTGCTACACTGGATATTATTGATATTGGTCTATAGTTGTTTACATCTGTTTCTGTTCCTGATTTATGTATCGGTATTATATTACCTTTTTTTAAAATTGAGGGATATATGCCAGATTCAAAGCATTTGTTGATTAGGTAAGTGAGTGGTTCTGTTATGTCCTCGGCTATAATTTTCAAATGCTCGCTTTTAATACCAATGTAGTAGTTTAATTTAAAAAAAGTTCATTTCTAAATATAAGAGCTTATGGTTAGTTTACTCAACGTCCGTAATATTGATGACATCGTAATAAAAAGTGAGAGGTGTCTCCTATCCGCGTGGTCCTAAGTGAAAATCGATGCAAAAGTTACGATACCGCCAAAGGTACGGAGACACGAAAATGTAGCCAGATTAATATCTGCTTCTCTCTAAGGTGGGAGCTCCCCAGCTTATCGCTAATTATGTATCAATTTAACGCTTATTTACCTCCGCATCTGAAACTGGATACAGCTTGGAGTTGAGAGAGTCTCTTTAATCCCTCTGAAGGCCCTTAGATGCACTAAAGTCTCATCTGCTTGGTATATGGGTAGCACAGATATACGGTATGTGGTGTAAATGCTTAGGTATTCGTAATTAAACTTAATAGTCCAGGACTATTAGACTTTCTCTGCTGAAAAAATCCCACCTGACTGAATTTTTTACCGGAGCTTCTTTCCAGCATTATGAATCATCCCTCAAAAGTCAACATGAATCCAACCCGAGCTTTTTTATGGGGGGTCAAAGGTCACAAAAAACACTTTTTAATACTAAACAATAAAGGTAATTGCTCATTTTATCGTAGAATTGATATTTTCGAAGATATATGGAAAACAGCGTTTTTCGTGACCTTTGACCAGCCCCATAAAAAAAGCTCCACTGGGACTCATGGAGACTTCTGAGGAATGATTTATAATGTTGAAAAGAAGCTCTGGTAGAGAATTCAGCCAGGTGGGATTTTTTCAGCAGATTATCCTTATTTTCGTCTAATAGTCCTGGATTATAATTCCTAAAACGCAAAGGTGTCATGCTTTGATCCCTGAATCACATTGGTAGCTAATGTATACTAAGTGACATATAAATCCGAACACCCAGTTTAAATGGTTTTATTTTAATAAAATTTTGTATAAGTACTGAATGAAGCATAATAAGTAAATGATAAAAATTTCAAAATGATTGCACTTCTTTAAAGCCCTTTGACCTTTAATAATGTGTGGATGCACCCTGATGTGCTACGCATTCTCCAACGCGCCTAGGCATGCTTCTGATCAGGTGGTCAATGTCCTCCTGTGGTATCTCATTCCAGGCAACCACCAACTCCTCTCGAAGTGCTTCTAGAGTCTGAGGAGGACGTTGCCAAGTGAGCAATCTCCTACCCATCATATTCCACACATGCTCAATTGGGGATAAGTCGGGAGATCTTGGTGGCCATGGTAACAATGTGACATCATTATGTTGAAAGAAGAAAGTTCTAGAACTTGGTGGATATAACGCCGCGCGTTCATGATACCTCTGATGAAGATTGAAGGTGACCTGGAACCATAAGCTATAGCACCCCAAACCATAACTCCAACAGTGTGATGAACATGTCTTTCAACAAAAAACTGTGGACTCCTTCTTTCACCACGTCGCCTTCTGACCCTGGCACGACCATCGTGCATGCCTAAACAAAATCGAGACTCGTCACTAAAGACAATACTGTTCCATTCCTGATCCCAGAGTGACCGTTGTCTGCACCACTCAAGGCGATTACGTCGGTGTTCTCGAGTTAAAGGGAGGACCCAGTGTGGCCGGTATGAAAACAAGCCAAAACTTCTCATTTGTCGGTAAACACTTCGCATGCCAATAGGTCTTCCGTGTTCTGCAAAACATTCATTTGCAATGGACCTGGTAGTGGAGAAACGGTCCCTTAAGGTCAATAATCTTAGGCGGCGATCTTCACGGTCTGTTGTTCTACGGCGGCGTCCAGTGCCCCTTGCTCTTTGCGTACGGCCTTCTCGAAGCCATGCCTGACAACACCTAACCACAGTGTCTACACTTCTTTGCACTCTAACTGCAATTGCCCGAAAAGAAAGTCCAGCTTCCCGAAGTCCCACTATACGGCCCCTATCAAACTCACTAAGTTGACGAAATCGTACAGGTCTCCGTACTCTAGGCATCGTAACCGATCGTAAAGGATGTCAAGAACCAAAATCCGCCAATCATCATTTTTAGAGCGTTAGTGAATTAAAGAAAGCAGTATAAAAACCGGAATGTCCAACTGATAAGGCTGAAAATTTTTTCACTTGTTATTTACAGTAAGATAAATACATTCACCAACTTTTATTAAAATAAAACCATTTAAACTGGGTGTTCTGATTTGTATGTCACTTAGTATAATTGCTCATTTTATCGTAGAACTGATATTTTCAAAGATATATGGAAAATAGTGTTTTTCGTGGCCTTTGACCAGGCCCATAAAAAAAGGTCCACTGGGATTCATGGAAACTTCTGAGGAATGATTTATAATGTTGAAAAGAAGCTCTGGTAGAGAATTCAGCCAGGTAGGATTTTTTCAGCAGATTGGCCTTCTTTTCATCTAATAGTCCTGGATTATCATCCCTAAAACTCAGAGGTGTCATGCTTTGATCAGTGAATCAGATTGGTAGCTAGCTTTTACCGCTAGGGTTATACTATCTTACCGACTGAATCAGATTGAAACTTGATGTGGTAACGGAGTATGGTGGTATTTTTACTACCCAGTTTCGTGCACTATTGAGTTGAAATTGTCACGTGAAGCCCATTCTGTCGTAACAAACGAATTCAGACTAGGTAGAGGGAGCTAGTCATGATTTTGCTTGCAACCTCATTCTCATAGTCTGTGGATTAAAGTGCACTTATATAAGCCTATTTGTTTACTGTTCTGTCACTAAATTCTACGATTCTAGCCGTGTAGTAGATATGGTCTACTTGCCATTGAACAAAATAAAATAAAGCTCTCCCACCAAAGACCACCAAGCCCACCACACTATCCAAAGTGTGTGACATACAACACCTTGTACAGCACTCTTAAATGTAACGTAGGTATTGATGATTACTGACCCCATACGAAGTCTCATGTCTCATTCCGGTGAAAGAGGTGCACCGTTCGGTATTTTTCCGGGTCCTTAATTTCAAAGGTTCCTTAAGAATGACCGCTAAAAGAATAGGGAGGACAATATCATTTATTTATTACAGACTTGAAAGCCTTCCGAAAGGCAATGCGCACTTGTGCATCTTGTACATTAGTGATGTTTAAATTTTCCATGAGGAAGTGAATACAGAACAGCTCTTTAAAACCTTCTATATATTTATATATGCCAAAACTTAGTGCGTGTTTCGTAACTCTGCTGAAAGTTTTCCGAGTACCACAGAAACGGCAACATTTGCCTACAAATTGGCGTGCGGTAAATATTAATTAATAGATGGATATGCTCAAAATGAAGTCACATAAAATTTGTTCAAAATGCCGTAATTAGACGATACAGAGGTTAAAAACCATGTTCGGAAAACCAAAATTATATTCAAAATATGATTTATGCAACGAAACAAAATTATTTGATATCAAGCAACTTTATTTCTTATATATTTCAGTTTATTGTTGCATAACTTTAAGATTCGATAGAACTTTTAAAATTAATGCATAGAGTCTATATAAACATGGGTCGAAAAATTCGTGGCTTCCGAAATACAGGGTGTTTAAATTTACTTTCTAAAATAGTTTTTTTTAAATATTTCGAACAATATTTGATGTATAACAGTGAAAATTGGTATACAAGAGTTTTTTGGTACGACAAAACGAACCATGGGCATAGTTTTACTGTAGCCGCTAGAGGACGCTCTCTACTGTACCTGTAGTGTATTAAAATGAATGAATTTTTTTTAGTGCAATTTTTTGCTTTTTGAATGAAAAAACTGATTCTTCGCACTTTTCAACATAAAAAAGCTCTCTTGTGAATTTTCGTTATAGTGAGCCGTTTTTGAGATATTTCGATTTTTAAGGTTCGATGCATCTTTAATTATTTATGATAAAATAACGTTAAAAGGTCAGTATCCCGATAATTTTTAGAAGTAGGCTGTGCCTGCAAATATTTTTGAAATTGAAAGCAGAATAAGGTTAAACGTCAATTAGTTGACAGTTAGTTTTGTTGTCTGTTGAAACCTGAAACGTTTTTTTGCAATTGTGAATGCACGAAATTTAGTTTCTTTTACCTGTTTTTTTTTTGTAAGTTTTATAACAATGCCGTTTTTATTCTCCAATCAAGAGTTAGCGGATATTCATTTTGTGTATGGCTTTGTAAATGGAAACGCAGCAGAAGCAGCCAGAGAATACGCTCGAAGATTTCCAAACAGACTCGCTCAGTATTTGTAAGAGTGCATCGCCAAATAATTGAAAATAGTTTTGGCAATCTCCAAAGGGATCAAAACATAAATGTTCGTCAGCGCAGATTTATCCGTATGATTCTGCGTGAGTTTGATAGAGATCCGACCACAAGTGTTAGGAGAGTTTCTGGTGCCTTGGGAATTTCAGCAAGCCATGCTCACCGTGTTCTTAGAAATGACCATAGACGTCCTTACCATTTGCAACCTGTGCAAGGACTACAGCCAGGGGACGGAGAACGAAGAATCACATTTTGTCAGTGGATTCTTGATAGAACTGATAAATAATAATAGGGAGTTTTTAAGTAACGTTTTATGGACCGATGAGTCATGCTTCACTAGACGTGGAGTGGTAAATTTTCATAACCAACATATTTGGTCGCATGAAAATCCGCATGCAGTTCGGGAAAGACATTTTCAGCATGAATTTAGTGTGAACGTGGGGATTGGTATCTACCGTAATCGACTATTTGGACCCTACATTTTGCCTGCAAAGTTAAATGAAGCGACCTTCTTGGAATTTTTAAAGGCTGAACATGCAAATATGTGGGATGATGTTATGTTAGATTTAAGAAGATTGGCCTGGTTCCAGCTTGATGGTTGTCCAGCTCATTATTCGAGAATAGTTAGAAACTGGCTGGACGAAAATTATCCAGAAAGATGGATCGGCCGTGGAGGACCAGTCGCCTGACCTCCACGATCCCCTGACCTAAATCCATTAGATTTCCTTGTGTGGGGATTTCTAAAAGAAAAAGTGTACCAGACTCCCGAAACCACAAGAGATATGCTAATAGACAGAATCAGGAATGCATGTGATGAAATAAGGCCTTATTTGAATAATGCTATACCACGTTCGATCATTCGTAGATGTGAATTGTGTAATGATCAATTGGGTTTACATTTCGAGCAACTACTTTAGATTTTGTATGTTTGTCCTAACTAGCCAATAGCACTTTAGTTGTAAATAATTAATTTAATTTGTTAAAAATAATATTGGAAAATTAAACAAATTAATATTCTGTTTTTTTGTGTTTATTTGGAGTTAGGAATTATTGCTGTGTTTAAAAACACAATCTAAACGATCATCTTAATTACTTGTAATGCCCAAATCGAAAATGTAAAAAAAAATATTATTTTCCCATATAATAAATAATTAAAAATGCATCGAACCTTAAAAATCGAAATATCTCAAAAACGGCTAACGATAACGATAAATCACAGGAGAGCTTTTTTATGCAGAAACGTGCGAAGAATCAGTTTTTTTATTCAAAAAGCCAAAAATTGTACTAAGAAATATTTTTCGGTAATTTTAATACACTACAGTAGAGAGCGCCCTCTAGCGGCTACAGTAAAACTATGCCCATGGTTCGTTTTATCGTACCAAAAAACACTTGTATACCAATTTTCACTGTTATGCATCAAATATTGTTCGAAATATTAAAAAAAAAAATATTTTAAAAAGCAAATTTAAACACCCTGTATTTCGGAAGCCACGCTTTTTTCGACCCATGTTTATATAGACTTTATGCATTAATTTTAAAAGTTCTGTACGAATCTTAAAGTTATGCAACAATAAACTAAAAAACCCTGTATATTGTCAGCCATTATCACAAACTTGTCAGTGAGCGCGATAAAATCACACATTGCTATGATACTAGATATAAGTTACGTGCAAAGACTGTACCTAATCCTCATAAGACCATAATGGAGCGATCTTTTCTCTATTTGACTCCAAAATTTTATGAAAACGTACCCGAAGACTTGAAACGATTTCGAAATACGCATAGTTTAAAAAAATATATCAAAATCGATACGCTCAATAGGAAGACAACATATTTTTTAACCCCTATCAAATATTCACCAAAAGTTGTCACCTTCTACATATACAACTCGCTGATCTAATTTTTTCTTTGAGATTCTTTTAACTTTTTTGTTTTGGTTTTGGAATGTCACACGTTTCAGCATACAAGGCATCCCTGTACACGCATTGTCTTTCTGTGCATTATAACACATTTTATATTGTTATTATATTATGGAGTAAATAAATATCTACTACTATTACTACTACCTACCTTGGTAGACTCCTCCAGCATCTTCGTGTGCTCTGCGATGAAGCGCACGCAGAAGCACGTCTTGTGCACCTCGGGAGGACAGCGACTGTGCGAGTAGGCGGGTATTCTCTGCAAGAGGGGGCTTTTGATCCCTCCTCCTCTATCTCCTCCCCCTCCACCCGCATCTTCGGCTGCGGAGGGCGTCGCCGCCTCCTCTGATGGAGAGGGAGGCAAGGCGGGGCCTGACGCGCCGTGGATTTGACAGCTGCCGCCGAATGGACCGCCTCCGTCCGCCAGAAGACTGCAAGAAGTTTAAATTTAAATGGTACAGTAAGGGTGGTTCTCACCAGGATTGTCAAATCGACAGTCCGCTATTCTCCACCTACCACACACAGTCCGAGCTTCAAGTTCCAATCAACAAATTGTACAAACCAATAGTTATGAAATGTTGGAAACAAAATACTGACAAAGTATGAGATGACAGCTTGTCATTGAAACATCACCAGCTTATTTAATTTAGTCAAAATTTAAAAAAGTGTTTGTTTATTCATGTTTATATTATTTCCTTCAATTGATATGCGATTTTACTGATTCCACATCACCTACCGTGTGTTTTTTCCTATAAACCTCTTGAAGATAGCAATTAAGCACCCACTTGATGACATGCTCTACCAAAAATTTAATATACTCGTATATTGCTCGATTCCAAACATTCATCCATTTGATTTTTTTTTCATGTTCGTTAGATGTCATTAAGAATTTATTTGTGTTTGTAATGACTCCTATTTTATTTATTTATTTGTTTATTAGTTATTATCTCAATTACTGTTTTAATTAACTACCTGTTCTTTTTAGCATATCGCATACTTATGTATTGTATATGTAATGTTGACAAGTCTTATGTCATAGCTATTTATGACCAAAGACAATAAAGACTATCTATCTATCTATCTTTAGTTGCTGTTCATCAGTACCATTATAACACCGTCGATTGATATTCCCACCAAACCATTCAGGATTTTTGATATGCATACATTCGTAAAGTCAAATATTTTTTCGTTATTCAGGAACTGATCAAATATCCACACTATATTTACAACGATTAAAAAATACTCAAATATATGTCGTAAAGGTACTGGCAAACTTAGAACCTGCAAAAAAACAGAATTTGTAATAACTTTCTTGTTTCACTGAGTACACATTCTAGGTTATATTTATATTAGACATTATTTGAAAAACCGCTGATTATTACATTTCAAAACTCCCCAACGAGTGACAACAGTGGAATTTTTCCCAAAATCGTTGCACAACAAATGAAAATTTAAAATTATTTCCATGACGCCGCAAAATAGCTCAGTCGGTACGTCGGGTTATACATCTTGACTGTAGGGATGTTCGATACGACCCTATATCACTGATCAACAGCCAAAAAATATCCTAAATAAAATCAACAAAATATTACTATTTTTAATGTGCTAAAACCGGAATGAAACTTATTTTTTCAATATTAGTTCAAGTTTTAGAGATACGGTAATTATATGTGTTCCTGCTGTGACAGTGTTAATATACTGTAATTCACAAGAATGCACGTGCTACATTTTTATATTCGGCAAGGAAAGATGAAGTAATCGGCATGATTGTGTTACGTTATACATACGTGTACATTATATTGTTTTATATTAGCCATTTTTTACTCAGTTGGCTGACAGCGTTCATGCAAGATGTCTCGAAAGTGTGTAAACAATCCAGATCAGTTTTGTTATGTGTGTGGTGATGTGACTTTTGCGTCTCAGAGACGGTCTATTACTCCACTAATAACAAAGGCATATCAGCTTTATTTCGGTTGTAAACTAGGTGATCAAGACAAACATCTGCTGTAATACATGTGCTTCAAGTATGACGAGCTGGTTAAATGGCAAAAAACGGTCTATGCGCTTTGCTGTCCCAATGGTTTGGAGAGAGCCTACAAATTATATTAATGATTATTACTTTTGCATGGTACCTTGTGTTGGACAAGCCACAGGTATGTCCAAGAAAAAAAAATCGGTTATTAACTACCCAAACATACCATCTGCGATGAGACCTGTGCCTCACAGTGACGAAAATCCTATTCCAAAACCCCCAGAATCCTACACTTGCGAATCAAAAAACGAATCAGATCATGGCGATCGAGTGATCCGTCAGGAAGAAGATATGCCATCAACGTCAAGAGATCCTGATTTTATACCGAGCAGGTCATGCCACCAACCGCACAAAATAACACAGTCAGAATTAAATGATCTTGTAAGAGATTTAGAACTTCCAACATGTAACGCAGAGTTACTTGGATCAAGACTGCAGCAGTGGAACTTGTTAGAAGACGATGTTTCGGTATATGTTTTTCGTAAACGCCACAAAGACTTAGAACCATTTTTCAATATGGAGAATAACTTGGTTTTCTGCAGTAACATTAACGGCTTACTGGCGGCTTTAAATATAAACTATAACCCAGAAGAATGGAGATTGTTTATAGACAGTTCAACATTGAGTTTAAAGGCAGTGTTATTGCATATTGGAAATATTTCCCCATCTCTTCCTGTAGGGTATGCAGTTCACATGAAAGAATCACATGACAATATGAAGTACCTATTGACATGCATAAAATACGATGAGCACCAATGGCATATTTGTGGCGATTTGAAAGTTGTTGCACTTTTACTTGGGCTGCAGCTAGGCTTCACAGAGTTTTGCTGTTTTTTGTGTGAATGGGACAGTCGGGCAAAGGCACTTCATTACACCAGACAAAGCTGGCCTGTTCGTCAATTCCTAGAGCCAGGTCAAAAAAATGTACAGCATATGCCATTAGTAGATTCGAAAAAAATTTTATTACCACCACTGCATATCAAGTTGGGCCTAATGAAAAACTTTGTCAAGGCATTAGATAGAGATGGGTCAGCTTTTCAATACCTGCGTTAGAAATTTCCAAGACTAAGTGAGGCAAAGGTTAAAGAAGGTATTTTTGTTGGGCCACAGATTCGAAATATTTTGAAAGATACACAGTTTGAAAACACTTTAACAGGTATTGAAAAAACTGCTTGGAATGATTTCCGTCTGATGGTCACTAATTTCTTGGGAAATAGAAAAGCTGATAACTATAAAACCCTTGTCAAAAATATGCTGTCATCGTATCAAAAGATGAGCTGTAATATGTCTCTTAAGATACATTTCCAACACTCACACCTGGACTTTTTTCCTGACGATTGCGGAGCCGTAAGTGATGAGCACGGCGAACGTTTTCATCAGGATATTTCAACAATGGAAAAAAGGTACCAGGGAAAGTGGAACCCTTCCATGCTTGCAGACTACTGTTGGACTCTTGGTAGAGATGCTCCAGAAACGATCCATAAAAGAACAGCAAAAAGACAGCGCATATAGTGATTCTTATAAGTATATGAATCTTGTTACTTTTTTTAATATATCCTTAAAAATAAAAAGTTTTTTTCTAAACCGCAACTAATTATTTTATTTCATTGTCATTTTTGGATTCAGCGCCCCAAAATTAACAAAGAAGTGCACTTTTCCCACAAGATACAATTAAAAAACTAAAATTTGTTGTCCAGTGATTTAGAAGTGTCGATACTTTTGCTTCCCATACGCGATATTTTGGATGGATATTTTTGTATACGACACTCGGGTGTATCGATACATTTCGCGAGTATCGTCATCTTTTGATTCGGACTGTGTCAGAAAGAGTGAATAACTTCAGATTACTTTTCTTCTTTGTTTCCTTCCGCTAGATATCGATAATTTTATTCCAATATTTTAGTATCGATGCTTCCTAAAACTATAAGAATCGAAAATTTTCGTGGATCTAAACATCTCTAATCTTGACAGCTTGTCGTTCTTGTCAACTGAGCAGCAGCGTGCGTTGTTGCCTTTACTATATTACATTTTGCTAAAAAAAATCGTTAGCTGAGACTGTACCAAGTACAAAGTATGTGCCCACTCATTTCAACGGTCTCCAAGCTTTCCACACTTCCAATTTGCTCTCGCCCAACGAAGAATCCAATGCATAATTAGAATTTATTCACGCTGGATTTTTTCCCGGTTGGCTGAGCTCCTGTATGTCGGTGCAGTTTTAATTTCCTGGCTTTCGGAAGAAGGAAAACGGGAGCGATTCCCGGCGATTCCCGGACACCCACCGGGTCGATTTAATTTCCAGGAAAGGAGCACACCACGCCTCGGCGATGAATCATACAATGAAATTAACAATGGAATTTCCTCCTGTTTCCTCACTACACCGGGTTACTACCGACCAAGATATTAAAATGGAACAGCTACATTTTGTACGTGCATAATTATACTACGTCTCGTTCGTCTTTCGTGAAGGCATAGTAATAATGGAGTTTTTTGATTTTAATTGTTCCATCCGCCAAGTGCCAATGTGTGATTATGCAGGGTGTAAACGTATTGAAATGTGTAATAGTGGGGTCAAAACAAGTCAAAAAGTTCATAAGACCCATGGTCCAAAAGTCAATAGACTTTTATCTAAATGACTTTATAGCTTACAACTTAAAGTGCTGTATATCGACCACAATCACCACAATCTTACTAATTTTTACAATCTAATCTAAAGCGTTTTCAAATTGGGTAATTAACAAATAAATGGCATTAGGTTTTTCTAAGTTAAGTCAAAATTTGTAGTCAGTAAGTTTCATTAAATGAAATATTTAAAACACACATGACAACAGCGCGTCGGTCTTTCAACACTGTTATCGAAGCGGCAATCGATCGCAAACGGTGACAGTGGTTAGTTATCGTTTTGCATAGATAAACTACTTTATCGTTTTGTCCAGCAGAGTATCTGGCGTGTTGTTTTGTTTTTGTTCGCGTACGTCGTCGTGTTTATTTACAACGTTCTCGAAACAAGAGTTCGCCGACATGTTGTTAGCCTACGGTGAAGCTCATCAGAATTCAAATTCTGTCAGTGGTTTTTGCAGAAAAACATTGAAAATCCGGATTTTTTTAAAAACATTCTAGCGACGGACGAATGTACTTTTATGCGGGATATTAAACTTCCATAATACTCACACGTAAGCCCAAGAAAATCCTCATACCATTCGTGAAGGTCATTTCCAACAACGTTTTAAAATGAATATTTGGGCGGGTATTCTTGACGATCAGGTAATTGGCCTTTTTGAGTTACCCCAAAGTTGTCAGGAGAGGGATACCTTAGCTTTCTAGCCAATAACCTACCAGAACTTTTGGACCTTAGACAACATGCCATTACAACGGAGACAGAATTTGTGGTATCTTTATGAC